CAAGTGTTGTAGGTCCAGGTGGTGACCAGCTGTATGGTGGGGGGGCTCAAGGCGAAACAGGACCCAATGGAGGAGACACACGGCATCTGCACACAGTGTCTGAGGAGACAACTCCACAGAAATGTGAGAGGCAGAGCTTCCACTTTTCATAGTATGCTGGGTCAGGAGGTCTTCACTCTGGATGCACAGGAGAATCAAGTCACCTGGGGAAAGTTTTTTAAATGCCAAAGTCCCACCCTGACCAACAAAATCAGATTTGGGAAGAAAGACTTGGTATCATTTAGAAAGCTCCCAGGGGGATTCCAATGATTAGTCAGGGTTGAGAATTGCTTTGCTAGAGGAAGCTGACTTGAGAAATAAGTGGAGAAGGGGGTGGGGAATGACTGAATTTGAACCTCTTCGGGTCTACCAGCAGGTTCAGGGGGTAGGGTCCTGGGGCAGCAGACACACATCTTGCCATGCGAAGCTTAAGAATAAACCCAACATGGGAGACTGTGGAATTGAGATATGGACAAGAGCCAACTCTTGATGGCGTCATTTGAGCCATTCTTGAAGCTAGCACTGTGTTTAGAAGTTTCAGTTTTGTATCCCGTACTTTCTCTTTCACTTAAGCTAGTATTGCCTGAGTTTTCTGCCTTTGTAAAAGGGAGACAATAGAGGACTGCTTGCTTGGCTTTTACTCCTTATCTCCCCCTTCTTCACCAAAGCCTTCAAGGGCCATTTACATTTTACGCCTTATATAAAGGACTTAAGTTTTGCTTTGGTTGTAGAGGCTACTCACTGTACCCTGAAGTTTGTCCCTGTCTTCCATATAATAGCATTTCTAGCTGAGCTGCCGAGAAAAATAAAGACAATTCTTAGTCTCCATTGCAGTTCTGGCCACAAGGCTAAGTTTTGGCCAACAGGATGCAAGCAGAGACTGTAAAGAATATCCTTCCTCCATTTTGCTATCTGAAATGTGGATCTCATCATCTTTGACTTGAGGACAAGGCCATGCCTTGGGAATGGGACAAATGCAGAGCTTGAGTCCTGGGAATTCCAGGGAGCAGAGCCACCTCATTGACTCTGGCCTGACACTTCCAGAGTTCATTTATGTGAAAGAGAAATACCCTTCTGTCTTATTAAGCCAATACTATTTTGGGTTTTCTGTTGCTCAAAGCTCAATCTAATCCTAGCTAATATGCGCTATTAAGTTTCATCTTGATAGACTTGGACCATCACTTTGTGTCTTTGGGTATGGATGCCAGCCTTCAACGTCTCCGCCCCATCCAGTTCTCTGTCATCTGTTAATGAGACCAGTGGGTCATCTGTACCTCCATCTGAGTCACTAATAAAAATAGGACCAGGAGAGGGCTAAGGACTTCAGTCTCCAGCCTACTCCATAGAGCTCTTGCATTGGGAGATCAATCCAGCCTGCACGTGGACACAGGTGTAGGGTGGTGCCAAGGAGTGTCAGCCAACGATCAGTGCACCTTAAGCTTTAGGGAGCATCAGAGCCACCCCAGAGTCTCGTGAAAGCACCGACTTCTAGATCTCAGCCTCAGAGCTTCTGAGTCGGTGTGTCTGGGGTGAGGTCCAAGTAATTGGGTTTCTAATAAATCCCAGGTGATGCTGATATTGATGGTTCAGGGACCACACTTTGAGAACCACTACTCTAGACTATGATTTGCAGTTGGAAGGTGAACTACAAAAGAGATAGAACATTTAAAAGTGGTTTGGCTATGGAAGACAAGTCTTTTTTTTTTTTTTTAATGTTTATTTATTTTTGGGAGGGAAAGGGACAGTGAAGTGGGGGAGGGTGTCCATTTACTTTGAGGAGGCTGTGGGAGCTCTTGTTCAATGGTTTCTATCTTAGGGAAGATATGCAAGAGCATTAACTGATGTGAGTGACATTAGCTATATGAGGAGAAATAATGAATTGGTTTTGACACATGCAATGTACCAAGGTAGCGTAATACACACTAGGTGTAATACACAGCAGGTGTAATACATACTAAAGAATGATAGAAAGAGTCAAGCAGGGTTGAGTACCTCTTTTTTTTAAATGTTTATTTTTGAGAGAGAGAGAGAGATAGCAAGCATGCATGGGTGGGCTGGGGAGGGGCAGAAAGAGAGAGAGACAAGGATCTGAAGTGGGCTCTGTGCTGACAGCTGAGAGCCCCAGCGTGGGGCTTGAACTCACCAGCCATTATATCCTGACCTGAGCTGACACTCAGCGCTCAATCGACTAAGCCATGCAGGCGACTCATGGGTTAAGTACCCTTTTAAGGAGTTAATGGACTAATGTTTATATTCTTACATTACTAAGAACATCTAAGTGTTAGACTCTCAGGACTTCCAGGGCGGATATGGCACTGTATCCATCAAGACGTCTCCAGGCCCAGGAAAGTGCTTGGTGAATGTTCAGTTCATGTTTCACAGTAAAGGAGCATGTGAGGTTCAATTTGTAGTGAAGATTGTCCCCCTGGAACAAAACAACAGTTTGATCATTTTTTTACATGGGTATAGTTTTTGTTACTGTGTAATAGTCTTAAGAGAGATAATGCTTTATATTTTGTTGGAATATTACACCTTAAAAAACAAACGAACAAAAAACAGCTCCAAGTGGGTCACCACCAAATCCTGAAATGCAGTGTCTATACTTCATTCTTTCTCAAGTAGTTACAAGAAATCCAGCAGGTGCCACTAATGTATGCACATTTCAGCTTACTTCTGACACATGTGAACAGCCAGAATTAGGGTTCAGTGGCCTTCTCTTTGGGCATATGAAAGCATGGGGACAGATCTGGGGGCCATTTGGAATGGCCTCACGCCCCACCGCGGAGGGAGGGATTGGCCTAAGATCGCTGCTGGCTCTGAGAGGAAGACATGAAAAGCAGTAGAAAAGCAGAGGACAGCTGTCACTAGACCGTGTCCACAGAGAACAGGGTGGTGACCAGCTGTCCCGATGTGTCTGGGACTAAGGAGGTGCCAGGGACGTGGGATTTTCAGTGCTAAGCCTCTCATAGTCTAGGGCAAACCAGGACAGGTGGGTCCCACAAGCAGGGGCCGGCCATTGGGGGGCGGAACCCAAATAACTGTGAGGGTCGAAGATGGCTGCTTTGACTGATGGGAGGAGACAGGGCTGGCTTCCTGGGGGTGGGACTGGTGTAGTGCAGTCACAGGGCCCTGCGAGCTGAAGAGAGTGTGCTGGGTATAACCTCTGTCTTCCCTGGGAGGTCTTAATAAGGTCTGAAGAAAGGACTCCCCACTTTCCTTTCGTACTAAGGCCTCCACGCTCCGTAGCCAGCCTGCAAGCTCTGTGGGAAGGGAGCTGGGGTTTGCTTTTATTTCTATACGGCCTGATTAAGAGTTGAAGACAGGTTCTCTTTCATCCCTCTCCCCCTCCCCCTCCCTTTTCCTTGTCTCTCCCTTCCTCCCTCTCTCCCCACTTCCCTCCCCTCTCTCTTCTTTCCCCCCTTTCCCCTCTCCCTCTCCAATTTCCTCTCTCCTCTCCTCCCTCCTTTCTCCCTTCTTCTTGCCTCTTCGCCCCATCTCCTCCCTCCCCATTTTCTCTCCCCCTCCCTCTCTACTCTGCTCCCCATTCTCTCTTCCCTCCCTGTCTCCCTCTCCTCTCTTCTCTCTCCCTCCTTCCTCCGCTCCTCCCTTTCTTTCTCCTCTCTCTCCTCACTCTCTCCCTCTTTCCCTCCCTGTCTTCCCTCCCTCACTCCCCCTCTCTCCCAACCCTCTCTCTCCTCTGCACCTCTCCCTTCCCCCTTTCTCCTCCTCTCTTCCCACTCTCTCCCCCTTCTCTCTTCTTCCTCGTCCCTCCTCCCTCCTCTCCCCCGTCCCTTTCTTCTGTCCTCTCCCCCTCCCCTCCCCCACGCCTCTCTTCCCCCACCTCTCCGCCTCTCCCTCCTCTCCCTTCTCCCCCCTCCCCCCCGCCCCACCCCCCCCTTCCCCCCTCTCCCCCCCCC